GTGGCTCCCTGTGGCCTTACTGTCCCTGTGAGCTGTGCTGGTCCAGGGTGCCCCACATGCAGGTACCTGCACATGGGTTGCACTTACGGGAGAGCGTTCCCTACCAGTTTCTGGCTGTGTGGTAATCCTTTGGGAGCCAGTAAGCCACCTGAGGTGGGCATTACAACGGACGGTCTCCCACCTGTGTAGGCAATGGGCTGGTGGGGGTACTGTGGGAGAGGCACCTCACTTGGAGTGCCCCACTGCACCTCAATGCAGAGCTTGGTCTGCCATCCTTGGGGAGCACTGTGCCAACCCAGCCTGTACCTGAGGCATCACGCTGCTGTCTGCAGCTATGGAAAATAAATAGCTCGGGGGAGCTTCAGCCCTAGAAATCTGCTCCCCTATCTCCCCAGGGTCTGGCCCCTCGACCCCTCTGTTAACAGGGAGCAAGCTACTCCATGCAACAAAGCAGGAGTCATGAGGCAGAGGGCTGTTAGCCTGTGAGCTGCTGTGGGACAGCAGCAAAACCACAGCCGGTAGTGCCGGGCACTTGGCACGCGCAGTGCCTTGGGCATCACCCTTGCCCAGGTGGCATGGGGCTGGGGTGCCGGCTGTCACCTCTCAGAGACGTGTTACTTTGCACTCCCCTCCCCAGCTCTCCCCACCTTTTCTAAGCAGAGGAAACCACTGCTGCTGGGCAGCTTCCTCCCAGCCACTTTCAAAATAGCAGGGTGGCTGTCACCATTGCTTGTGAGAGCCTTCCACCACCCCTCTGGGAGAGGACCCAAGCAGAGCTGTTTCCCATGGGGCTGGCATGTTGCCTGGTGGCTGCCTTCCTCCTTCTATTAGGTGAGTGCCCTGCATCATGGTGGGGGCTTTCCTGGGGTAGGTGAAGGGAAAGTAAACACCGCCCCCCCCTGCCCCGCCCCAGTGCAGATGGGACCTTTGCTGGGTGGGTGGCTCAGCAGGGCACCTTGCTAGGGCTGCGAGGCCAGGACAGCCCCACTGTGGCCAGTGCTGCTCTGGCTCGGTGGCTATGGGAAGAGGTGCATCTGCATCTTCTCCTTTCAGCAGTGTGGTTTCACTCCAAAGCGTTAGCCTGGACCCTGGCAGGATTTCAGTGAGGGCATGTGCATGCCCCTGTTGCCTGGCTGCTAGGGGTGTGGAAGGGGTAACCTCATACCTCCTTCCCCTGGGAGGGATTTTCTGAGGATTTCTTAGGCTGTGTCACCACCAGTTCTCTTCCTGGCCTAGTCTCCATGGTTGTTTTTTGACTCAGTACCCATATCCTGTGGGCATTTTGATCAACGTGTGTGCTGGGCACCAGAATAGAGCATGACCATTGGAAGCTCTGCAGGAGAGGAGGGCTCATGGGTGGCCATCACCTCCTCAGACCCTGTGCAGGCAGAAATGGAGGGAGCCCTTGATGCTTCCCTGTGCCCCTTGCCTTCAGAGGAGCTCTTGCTGGCCCCCTCTCCCACACCCTCCCTGATTTCTGTCCATGGAGCACCTCTGCAGCACCCAGCCTGCTGGTTCCCTCTGCTTTCCCATGTCCCTTGGCTTCTGCATTGCATCTCCCTCTCTGGCAGTGGTCACCTCCGGTACATGTTCCCTTCCCCACCCTCCCCAGCTTGTGCAGGACTTGAGTGCTTGGTCCTCTTAATTTTAACACACTACAAGCTTCCTCCAGTGATCTCAGCCTGGTTGCTGCTCCCTCTGAACAGCTGGCTGAGGGATGCTCTCCAGCCATGAACAGGCTTGACAGACCTCTGACCATGGTGTGTGACCCAGTGTGCTAGGAGACAAGAAAGTTTAGAGCTTTGCTGTTACAGCACTAGTTCTTACAATTACAAGGGGTGCGAAGTCCTTTGGACTTCGGGCTTCAAAGAATGAGACTGCACAGCAATTCTCTTCAATATTACATTGCGGTCCTGTACGCATCCAGGCCATTTTGGGTGTGCAGCCCTCAGGTAGCATATACCCCTGCAAACACCACATATGCCAACTGTTTGCTGACAGGTTTGAGCGCTGGCCAGCGGGTGGTGACTGTTCAGAAGGGGCCCCTCTACCGTGTGAAGGGGTCCCACGTCACACTGTGGTGCAAGGTGAGCGGCTACCAGGGCCCGGCGGAGCAGAACTTCCAGTGGTCCATCTACCTGCCTTCGGCCCCTGAGCGGGAGGTGCAGATCGTCAGCACCATCGACCCCTCTTTCCCCTACGCCATCTACACCCAGCGCGTGCACAGCCGGGGGATCTACGTGGAGCGGGTGCAGGGGGACGCTGTCCTGCTGCACATCACTGAGCTGCAGGACCGGGATGCTGGAGTGTATGAGTGCCACACGCCCAACACTGACGAGAGCTACTTTGGGAGTTACAGCGCAAAGACGAACCTCTCAGGTGAGTCCTGAAGGAACAACCCAGTCCCTGCCAGGCAGGGGTGCAGGCAGGCTTCTGCTGCTCCCCTCTTTATGCTGGGCAGAGGTGCTCATCTCCTGGTCCCTGACTGTGGGGCAGTGGAGGAAAGGGGAGATTAATGGGACTGGTGGGCACAAATTTTTCTTCTCTCCCCACTGTAGGCCTACTATCCCACCCCTCAGGTGGCCAAGTTTGGGATGTCCAAAGGTCTTTCAGCAGGGTGCTCTGGTGATTGCCTCCCAGCCAGGGCAAGGGAAGGGAGAGGAAGCCTCTGCTGTCCTATGGCCTGACATTAACTACAGTTCCTGAGGCAGCCACAGCGTTTCACAGCCAAATGCTTAGGAGGGCAGGGGTTTTCAGGCTCTGTGCATTAGCTGTTGGTGTCCTCTCAGGTCAGGGTATGGGACTTGACCCAAGCGGGATACCCACAGAAAGAGGGAGGGAGCAGCTCCTGCAGAGTACTGGGACAGGGAACACAATGGGGTGGAGAGGCAAAGGGAAACACCCTACTGTGAGTGTACCGAGTCTACACAGTGGCATGGCATGTCCATCTCATATTCACCCCCTTCTTCCTTTATCCTGGTGGTGTGCCAGCCTGCACTTGCGATTGTGAGGAGCTGCTCGTTAATCTCTTTGGGGTTTGCCTAATACTGCCCGTAGTTTCTCTGAAGAGGGTTCTGCAGAGAGATTCACTGTTTTCTTCCCTGCTGAGGTTTTGACCACACGTCGGCACAGGCTGATGGAAGCCTTGTCAATCAGCTGCAAAAGATATTTCTCCTGCACTGTCAGATCCCTCAAGGGCCTGGCTGCGGTTTTATAGTGACCAGTAGGTTGCCCATCAAGGCAAATAAATTATTTTTCCTGTGACCCGAAGCTCTCTGTGTTTCTCCCCCATGCTCAGTGATCGCAGACACCCTCTCGGCTTCCATGGTGCCCCAAGTCCTCACCCGTGCTGAAGGGGAGGCAATGGAGCTCACCTGTGAGGTGTCTAAGTCCACCACCCAGCACACGCATCTTTCTGTTGGCTGGTACCGTCTTCAGGGAGCAGGAGAGAGTCATGTCGAGGAGGTCCTCACCCTCTCCAAGGACTTTGTCTTGAGACCAGGGCCCTCTTATGCGCAGCGGTTTCTGGTGGGGGATGTGAGGCTGAACAAGGTTGGGAACACCATGTACAAGCTCTTCATCGGGGGAGTGCAGCCATCCGACCAGGGGCAGCTGTACTGCGAGGCAGCCAAGTGGATTGAGGATCCTGATGAGACGTGGAAGGACATTTCCCGCAAGCAAACAAGAAGGACATCGCTGGCGGTCATGAGCCAGGGTAAGGTAACTTGCATTGGCTCCAACTCTTTTGTGTGTTCAAGGCTCTATAGCAACAGCCTCCAGTGGCCTTTGCCTGCCTCCGCCGCAGCCCAGGGACCCATCGGTGGGTCTGGCTGCCTCTGCCAGGCACTGGGGGGAGCGGACTGGGCTCAGGGCCGTGGCAGACCCTGGTTCAGGAGCTGTTGGTGCTTCTTGCTTTGGAGGTTCACATGGCCAAAATTTCTGATGCCGGCAGCAATTGGTCAACCTCACAGTCCCAGGCGAGGTGTTAGCAGAGAGAGCAGCATGTGCCCACGGCAGCCTGGCTCCTTGGCGGCATTAAGCTCCAGTGCGCAGAAAACTGCGTTGTTAGACTGCCTCGAGGGTCTCGTGGCCTCAAAAACTGAAGTACGTGACAGTCAGCTGCCCTCACAGCACCTCAGCCATGGGCACCGAGGGACACGGGGATGTGCTGCATGGCTCTAGTGTCTGCTGGAGGTGGCTTGTCTGTCTGTGCTGTCACCAGTCTGATGGTTTCTAGAGCAACTGGTGCTGCTGTTTATTAGACCATCCCTGTGTCTCCTCCTAGCCATTCATATGTGGCAGTAATGGGACTGTGGGTCAGACTGGGCTTTGAAGTGGGTGCACCAAGCTCCTGGCTTATGCTCTAGGAAAAGATAGTATTAGGTATTTAGAAAGAGGACACTTAGATCTGCTGCCACGTATGAGATGGATTAAAATAGGAAAGTTTGAAAAACAGCCCCATGCCGATGCTGCCCATCCTCCCCCAGTCCACTCTGTCTCTGCCAGGTACCCCCTGTTCCCTCTGCCCAGCAGCTTCCCATGGCTCCTGGCATCTGCAAGGTCTGCATCGCCTTGCCCAGGGCTGGTGGGAAAACCTCTCTCTCCCCACTGCCCTGGGATGGTTACAGCACTGTGTGTTTGCTGCCACTCCTCTGAGCACCCTACCTGCCACAAGCCCTTTGCTGGCCACGGTCCCTTGCCTTGCTCTTCCACCAGCTGCGTGTGGGCTCTGGTAGCTGTGCCCGAAAGGTGGCAAAATCTCTTTCCCACCAGTATGTTTTACCCCAAAGCAGCTGCATCTAGTTGATGGCCTTCAACATATACAGTAAAACAAGAGCAAGTCTTTCACTGAAAACCTGCCTGGGGAGGTGGCGTAGCCTGTCACCATGCCTCAGGGCAGATGGAGGAGGCTGCAGAGCCGGGATGGTGGGTGAGGGGAATCAGTGTCTCACAGGAGGGTGGTGAGTCAGAGCAGGAAACCAAAGAAATGGGCGGGTAAGAACCAAGTATGCTGTGTGCGGCTTGGGATCAAGGTATCGGGGCAGGGAAGTGCAGTCTCCCACTGTCAGAGGCTAGTTCTCAAAACCCAGCTGAGTGGCAAAGCTTTATTCCCCTTACTATGCAGCAATGGCTTTCCATATCTGCTACTGCCTGGTGAGCAATGGCAGTCAGTGTGCTTTCCTGCATCTGGTTGTTTAAGAGGGTTCATCATGATTGGTAGTGTGTGGCTTTGGGTACTGGTGCCACAGAATTGTTTAGAAATAGAGAAACCTTGTCAGAATTTAGTATTTTCCATGTCATAGCCGTTAAGGGTGGGAGGCAGGTGATGGTGGTAAGAGGACAATGTGGTGGCTGCATTAGAGCTGCTGGTATTGCTGGGGGGGAAACAGCAGTGAGTGTACGAGCCCTTCATCACATCTGCAGGGCTGGGGTGTCCCTCCAGCACCCCGTGGGAGAGTCCAGGCTGCAGGGCTGAGAGTCCCATCACACCAGGAGCCGGCAATCACTCTGATAGTGGCCATCTGCTCCCTTGGTTTCTATAAACTCCCCACCAAATATTTGGGAATGCCAAACGTGTCTGCAGTGGCTGACGTTCCTGTTTGCAAACTGTTTATGAACCAATGTTTAAATTCACAGGGTAGTCTGCTTTCAATAAATTATTTGAGCCCTTCCAGTGACAGTCTGGGAACTGCTCTGTTTTACTTCCAAGCTACAGCTTGTAGCCTTGCCCTTGTTGTTAGACATGGGGGGCACCACAGTGACCCAAAGAGATGGAGTGGTGTGAGCCAGGCTGCCTGCCTGGGGAGTCAGGGCTCAGCCCTACCTGCTGTTTTTTGGCCGTACCACTGCTGTGTGGGGTCACGGCACCGGGTTTTGGGGCACCCTGTGTGTCTCTGCCTGCAGCCACTCTCCAGCCAGGCCAATGCCAGGAACCAGGGGGCATTAGCGGCAGAAGCTTTGAATGCCCCACGAAGAAGGTGAATTGTATCATAGGACCCAGAGACAGGGTCCTTACCACAGGTGTGGCTGACTGCCCAAGAGGGTCTGCCCAGGGGAAGATGACTTTGTGCTCCTCCTGTTGCTACCCTCTTTGCTCAGCACCTGCTGCTAGTTGGTATGGGGGGCAGGACAAGGACTAGGAGATGACCTCCATCTCCTCTTGCTTCCTTCCAACCTCCCCGTGTTAAGGCAAGTCTTGACATTTCTGCTTTCTGTAGAAACTAACCCAAAACCTCTCCAACTTAGAAAGCATCTCTTGCCCACATCCTACAGCAGGCAGTGAGGGCTGCGGCATGCACGACCAGCAGCGTCAGATTCAGACAAGCAACTTGAATGTCAGCCCTCCGTGCACCTTCTCCCACCACAGACAGCAGAGTTAAAAACACCCCTGAGTGATAAAGCCCCTTTGTGCCCATTTCTGGTTTATGGGATATTTGTTACATGAAGCAGAACAGCTCCAGGAGGCGAGATGGAGCAGCCCCCCACAAAAGCCAATGCCTGTGGGTAAGGGCAGCCCTCAGTTCGGATGCCTGAGCTGAGCAAGGGGTAGCTGTGTCCTGAGGCTGTCCTGGTGGGTGTTTTGTTCTGAGGGTGTTAGCTGCTGCAAAGCAGGGAGCTCAGCTCCTCAGGGATCTGGTACTTCCTTCGCCTGTGACTGCTGGTTAGTGCCTGGAGCTGGCAACTGGCTCCCCATGGGCAAAATTTTCCATCTTTATCATTTTTCTAAGGAAAGAAAATGTTTCAATAGAGAATTCCCTCCCATTTCCCTCTGCATGGCCATCGGTGCTGCCAGGTAGGAGGGAAGCATGGGCAGGGCCACCCAGCACTCTCTTTTCTTTTGATTGTCTACAGGCAGAGACCTCTCCGTGGACATAGCTGCTGCTGAAAGCTCCCTTTCTGAAGGTGATACCTTGCAGCTAAATTGCATGGTGGGAGCCCAGAAGAGCAGCAGCAGGAACTTCCAAGTGCTTTGGCTCCTCAACAGAGTGGAAGTGGCCAGGGTCGACCCCCATGGGGTATTGATTTTGGAAGAAGAATATGAGGAGAGAGCCAAGCTGGGGCAGCTCCGAGCATTCAAGCAAAGCAACACGGTTTATGTCCTCACCATCTATGAGGTGGGGCTGAAGGACAATGGTATTTACCGCTGCTCTGTTTCGGAGGTGAAGGCTCCTGGAGATTTTCACAGCATCCAAACCAATCTGTCATCAGGCATCCAAGTCGATGTGAAGCCAATAGGTTAGTAAATCCTAATGGCTGATCTTCCGCGTAAATCCTGCTGTGATCCCTGACTGGGGAATGTTTCAAGTCTGGCCTCATCTTGGCAGGCACAACACACCTGCAGCTTGCAGCAAAAGTGCAAAGATTTTGGTAGATAATAGTGGGAAAAGTACTTGCTCCAGCAATTGTTAACATGATAGGTGCAGCAACTGTCAACAAAGCGTAAACCTTTAGCTCAGTCTCTTTGCAATGAGTTCTGAGGCAAACAGGTAGACTTCTGGGGAGGTTAGGTCCTCCTGTGTCTTTGGTACAGAAAATTGTGAGCAACAGCTGTTGCTCCTCCTGAGGATCACAGGACGGCCCAGCAGAACAGGTGCTTCTGGATGGGGGCAATCACTGCCGTTTCCGTTGGGGCTCTCTTCCTGTTTTGGAGGGATGACTTGTGAGAAACCACTCTAAGATGTGTAGGACACTCTTGGTTTCCTTGTCATACGTAGACTATGACTATTCTGATGTAGCAGGAGCTGTCTGTTGGGACTCTATTTCTTAAGTATTTCTTTATATATCCATGTTCCAGGAAATGCATTAAAGAAGGAAAAATACCTAGAATCACAAAGTCCTCTCAAAAGTTATAAGAAAAGGCTGGCTGAAAATTTCAGACAATTCCTTTCCTTTTCCAATGTCAAGATTTATCTAGTCTTGTCATTTAGTGCCACAGTATCTCTGGCTTTCCCAAGGAGCACAGCAACATCCTCTACCATGCAGTAACTGTTGTTTGCAGAGAGCCGCATGCGCCTGTCTGTGTCCACCAGCACGCCGCAGGTCGTGGCGGGAGATGCCTTGACCCTCCTTTGTGAGGTGCAAGGAACGACCAGCCCCGTGTCTGTGCAGTGGTGGCACCTGCCACCACAGCACCTGGGTCCCCGGGTGCTGGTGGCCACCATGGAGCGGGATGGCACCCTCAGCCTGGGCAGCGTCTACCGGGATGGCAGGACTCGGGGGAGCCTCCGGCTGGAGAAAGCCAGCTCCGGCACTTTCACCCTGGTGATCCCCAACACGTTGGATGAGAGTGACGGCGGGCAGTATGGGTGCGAAGTGACGGAGTGGTCCCGAGGCCAGAGCTGGACAAAGGAGAGGGAGACAGCGGTGACAGTCAGCTCCATGGGTGAGTTGGGCCACCCCTATCTCTGGGCTTTTAAGCTGGACATGCTGGAGGCAAGGCTGGAGTAGTGGGTGGGTGCATGTGGGTAGGACAGAGGTCTGCTGCAGGGTGACCTGGATCATTTAGCCTGGACTGCTTCAGTTTCCCATTTCTAGCAGGGTGCTTGAGATGTTTTGGGAGAGATAAGTGGGACGCAACAGCTAAAATGCCCAGAGACCTGAAAGGCAGTGGCTTGCTCAGCAGATCCTTCTGACTGTCTCCTTAACTTGCAATACAAAGTATCTGTTCTAGCAGCATAATTACTTGCAGTGATTAAGCTCAACAAAGGCACTTGCTGAGTTGTATGATGGTCTTTGTCAGAGATACACCCCTGGTGCTGGCATCTGATTGCTTCTGCTCTCCTGTCTGCGCAGAGCCTCTAAGCTCCAATGCTTATGCTATCTCCTCTTTTGATTGCTGGAGAGGCAGTTTTTGGCTGTGATACAGTGTATTTCTCCTTCCTTATTGCTGGGCTGGGTGCTTGACAGCACCGATTGGGCCGCAGGAGTGGTTAGGCTTTTGTGCAGGGTGGAAAGCAGCAGCAAACAGGGCAGCAGCATCAGCAGAGGATCCCTGGCACTCTGCCATGGGGCAGAACTGGGGAGCCTGGACGAGGGGGTACTCAGGGTTGCATGGGGGGCTGGGAGCGGGAGGGTGGGGGGAGCTAGGTAGGAGAAGGCCAGGGACATGGGGCTGGAAGAGCACATCACAACTCGGGGGCAGAGGAGCAGCAGCTGCCTGCCATAGGGCTGCGGTGGCTGGGCCAGTGGGGATGGTGCTGTGTGGGAAGGGTGGCAGCGACATGGCACAGGACAGGATTTCTGTCCTGATGCCAAGGGCTCTCTCCTCCCAAGCAGCTCTCGGTCTGCATGCCACGCTAAGAAGCCGAATTGTCACCGTCAGATACGGGCAGAGTTTGGAACTCGATTGCCAAGTGAGTGCTGGCTACACCCTTGAGAAGGTGCCGGTGTCTGTGGGGTGGCTCTTCCAGCCCAGCCCACCCACCGGTCACTACCACAAGCTGGTCCAGGTCCTTCCCAATGGCACCATGAACTGGGGGACAGCACAGCCACACTTCCAAGGGAAAGCCCAGCTGACGAAAGCTGCCACCTCCTTTCGGCTGGACCCCACACAT